AGCCAATGGCTTGTTCCTCAGCTCCCGCCTCTCTGCACCTGCCCGACCTATCGGAAGCCAGGATCGGGCTGGCTTTTCACCTGGAGCCATTGCCCTCCCCCCGGAGCAGGGATGGGCCAATCAGGGCTCGGCAGGATGTCCTTACCTGGCGACAAGTAGAGGGCGGGATTGCGGCGAGCCAATGGCGGGAGCGGGACCCGAGAAGGGGTGGAGAAGGCTCACCTGTCACCAATGGGGATTGCAAATGGAGCTAATTCCCCTAGCAACGAGGTGGACAGGGGCTGAGGTAAAAAGAAGCGCGGGCGAGAGTCCAAGTCCAAGTCTCCAGGTTGGCGGAGGCGGCTCTGTGTGACGCTTTTACTTCAAAAGTGTATGTTAAGCCTCTGATAAAGGAGGGTGGAGTTTATGAGAGGTTATCCATTAAAAAAAAGTTAGCCTGCAGGGCGCCACATCGCTGACTCACGTAATTATTCAGACCCAAGTCGACTATGTCACATATTTACTTAACTTAAGCTTATTTTACCGTATTTTTAGTTTAAACTGAAGCATCGGTACCGAGACACTTTATGTGTCCTTAGTCTGGTGGGATAAAACTTACAGCATAGAAGGAAGAAAGGATGGGGAGGGAAGAAGAAAAAAAATTGTTCCTTATGTTTTTATCCCACTGACTAGGTCAGAGTAGCAAAAAGCAAAAGCTATGAAATGGCTCTCTTTTCTCTGGGCTGTGTTCCCACAATATGCTTAACCGAGTTGGCTGCCTTTGCATGACTTGCTAAACTTGGTTAATGCTGACCTTAGTTAACTTTTTTAGTGGTTATTGTGCAAATGCAGAGATTGGGATTAATTCAGGAACCAGATTAAGAATCTTTGCAACCAATAGCCAGATAAAACATGCTGCCCTCTTTCCCTGTCTATTTCCTGTTTGAATGGATGGTTAGGCAGACCAAGATACAGTGGTACCTCTAGTTACGAACTTAATCCATTCCATGACTCTGGTTGCAACTCG